AGTAGGAGTACGAGTAGGAGTAGTAGGAGTAGGAGTAGGAAGCATTAGCAGTAGCAGTGGCAGTAGTAGTGGGAGCAGTAGTAGTAGTACTACTACTACTACTACTACTACTACTACTACTCGTCGTAGTAGTAGTAGTAGCAGCAGTAGTAGTAGTGGTGACAGCAAGAGTCGTCGTAGGAGTAGGCGTAGGAGTAGGAGTAGCTGCGGCAGCGGCAGCGGAGTAGCAGTTGCAGCAGTGGTCATCGCAGCTGTCGGAGTGGCGGTGGTCAAAGCTAGCCTGGTTCACCCGTCATCATTATCACGATCGGAATGCCCGCCCTAAGCATTCAAAGCACTTGCCATGCACACACTGCTAGCGCACAAAAGCAGAATTGAATGAGCCATCACGTGACATTCTTGGGGACTACTTAACCAACAACACCCCGTGACACAAACAAGCGCATTTTACTCACCACTCGCTACCACTAGAACACCCACGGTAGACTTCCAAATCAAACTGGAGTCGGGGCCACCGGAATCGCTAGAGACAAACAGCTAGAATCGTAAAGCCTAGGGCCCCAGGGCCTAGGGTAGCAGAACACTCGTGCTTGTCCATCGCGGTTTCAGCTCTGCCACTATGCCAAGTTAACTCCAACCTCCCATCCAGGTCCGGGTGTCTTCGCCGAGCTTGCTACCTCGAAGTGTAGGGCTTCGGTAGCAGAAGTGTGAGGTGGAGCCCAAAGCCTGAACCCCAGCCCTTCTTGTCTGCAACGACTAAGCCCCTTTGCAAGGCTGCTTCCTTCGATCCAACAAAATACCTCTCGGCAACAATAATAAACCTGACGTTGGAACTCTACAAACTTCTCAGCCAGCGTGCCGAGGCAGGGCGGAAGGCAGTTAGCACCTTGGAGCCGTGGAAGGTGCCAGCTACTTCAAACCGCACAAGCCCTGAAGGAGCCGCAAGGCAACGTGCATGAACAGACTCGCCGCTAGACTTCACACGTACTAGAAGGCTTCGGCGGGGGGGGGGCCTAAAGGGATCATTAGCAAGACTGGGAGTGGCCAGAGATGGAACATGTTCAGCGGCTCAAGTGGCTCAAGTGCATGCTCAGACAAAAAATCCTGAAAAAGGATAATCCTGAGGGTCAAAGTGCAAAAAAGCAGCTCCAGTTGAATTCATGGGCCCCAACACTTCGGATTCTGAGGAACTTCGATTTACCTACTCCCATCTCCGAAGCTTTACCGATCCGTTGAGGCCCCTCGGACGAGGCTTCAACGACTAAACGAATCCGTGTAGAAAAAACCGAGGCATTGATTCAGACGGTTGCGGTTGTGAAAAGTTCTTTGGTCACCGTGATCTCTTTTTCCTGTAGCAAGGAGCCTCAACAACCAGGTCAACCTGCCATCTGAAGGCACATCTAGTAATGCAGTAATGATCAGCGCAGAAGCCCGAAACCCCGTCCAATTCTGATTACACTAGTACAGAACGACACCATGTAATACCTTTTGACATCATTGAACGCACAAGCATTATACCATGCCAGAAGTCAGGAAAGATTAACGGTATCGTAACACAACATAACACCCCAGGCTGTTAGGCCACGTCTGTGACCACCCCGAGGCTGCAGCCACTGTGGCAATCTTTCGTCGACCCGGGCTTGAACTGACCTCGATAGAGCACAGCCCTTCGAGTAGTCCTGCTGCTTGGCGGTTGAAGGCCTACTTGCACAATCAATCTATATGGAATATATGCATCATATGCGCACACACACAGAGATGAATGCATGCATGAGCATGAATGGACGAAGGTCCAGCATGGGGCTCGAGGTTGGGAGGCTCGGCTGCAAAGCGTAAACAACAGTATGGTCCAGGTGGAGGTTCTTGGCTGGAGGCTTCGGGTAGGTTCAGGGGTCCTGGTTCGAGCCTCAAGGCAGAATATGACAAAGAGAGCAACGCTAATTTCAAGCATCAACTCTCCTGACCCTGGACTGACAACTCGTGCATCCGGCAGAACCAACTTTCATTCGCTTCAAGGTCATCTGATATTGAAGCCGAGCTGCACTGCCGGAAGCCTGCAGCGGCAGAACTTAGCATGTCGCGCTACAAAGGTCGCCCTCTGATGTGGCGAGACATAACAGTGCATGTGAATGTGCGGATGCTTGCACAGGCTACGAAAGCTGCATACCACACGTGGCCGAACAGTTATCCACAGCCAAAACTACTCCCCATCATGATACATCAGCCCGACACAGCAAAGATCAGCTCAGATTCTCGACTTAAAATCCTACACTCTCCCTGTGCCCCTAACTTCCACACTCTCGAAAAAGCTTTCGACTCAATACTTGAGCTCTGAGCCCCATAGGACGTGGCCGTGCCTTTGCTTTGTCGGGAACAGCGGTGGTAGCCGTCGCAGCCCTGTAGGATGGCTTCCTGCAGCCCAATCACCACCCCACTTCTTCTTTTTGCTTGAGCACCTGTTTTCCTATCCGCCCAAAACCTCTCGCAGAGCCCCATGGGTAGAATTCTCTTTGGGGCTGAGGGTTCACAGCCTCGGGATGGCGTTGCCGCTCTGAAGTTGGAACGAAGACCCCTGAAGAGACCTACAGTTGCAACGCTCCCGTGCAAAGAAGGCGATGGAGCCCTGGCCAGGAAGGGTCTCCGGCCTTGGAATACGTCCAGGCTGCGGTTCGTTCGAGAGTGGACACGTAGAGCTCTTGTGTGAGTTGGGGGTTTGGGCAAGAGGTTGGCTAGGAGTTTCGACTGGAAGGGTTCCAGTTTTCGGTCGTTCTGGTTGCTGAAGACTGATTCAGGCCTGGGTGTGTTCAGACCTGGTCTGCGGCTACTTAGCAGCTTATATCTTCGAGCAAACTCCCAGACACACACACACACACATTTACAGCAGGGATCTGAATGCATGTGTATATGAGCCGGCGTCAAAATTA